GCCTCCAGCTCTCTCTGGGGGTATGTCTACACTACCCCCCTAGTTCGAACTAGGGGGGGTAATGTAGTCATACGGAGTTGCAAATGAAGCCCGGGATTTGAATTTCCCGGGCTTCATTTGCATAAAGCCGGCCAGCGCCATTTTTAAATGCCGGCTAGGTCGGACCCCGGTGGAACAAGGTGTACAGCTAGTTCGGATTAGGAAGCCTAATCTGAACTAGCTAGTCCGTGCTGCGTGTAGCCGCGCTGCACGGGGTCCGACCTAGCCGGCATTTAAAAATGGCGCTGGCCGGCTTTATGCAAATGAAGCCCGGGAAATTCAAATCCCGGGCTTCATTTGCAACTCCGTGTGTCTAAGACTTCCGCCGCGTTCTTTCAAAATCAAATGGAAAAAACATGGCACGTTTTTTCAACCGTGGTAAACCTCATTTTACGAGGAAGAACACCTTCTTTCGAAAAAAGGCGTTCTTGAATGCAAACAGTGCTTTTTTGAAAGAGCATCAAGACTACCTGAGTGCTCTTTCAAAAAAGCGGCTTGCTTTTTCCAAAGAAGTGGTTGCAATCTAGATGCTCTCTTTCGAAAGAAGCTTGTCATCTAGATGTAGCCTCAGCATGGTTTGCTTAGTGAATCAAACCTTCACTGCTCAGCCCTCAAGAGCAATGTACTTGCTGGTAGGGGGTTGTGAGCCAGCACTTGTTTCTCTTCTCAGGTCTTCAGCTGAGCAGGTTTGCCTGGTCCCTTTCCAGCCATGGAAAGCACCTCGTGAGCCATTGTGTCAGTTCAAGTTACATCTCCTTTGAGATGCCTCGGAAACCAGAATTAATTATGTGAGTTTGGAGCAGGACAGGGGCCATGGGCAAGCAGCCAGGAGTAAGGGTGTGGAATTAGCTGTGGCAATTGGCACACTGAGTACAAGTTGAAAACGGGATTGGGGATATTCTGGGCATGCTTGTCAATAGCCAGCCTGGGGCATGGGCAGGTGTAGAGTTGTTGATTTCTGTCTGCCTAGCTCCCTACTTGGAGCTCGTCATTCTCAGCAGTTATATAGCATAAGCATCGCCGTGGCATCTGGGAGCCGGCGCTGTCACCAGCTCTGAATCTGCCCCGTTCTCATTAAGCTTCCCTCTGAGAGATGTGCCATTTCCAAACAGTAAATAAATCCTGTGCTTATACCTTTTCCATGGCAACCCATAGCTCAACCAGTGGCGCTCACCAGCTTTTAAGAGAGGGGAGCAGAAAACAATGTGTCTGTGCGTGTGCGTGTGTGTGACAGACAGACAGACAGACTACGTGCACATGTACGAAACGGATTAATAAGTGATGGGAAATGAAAATGACACGTCACAGAGAATCTTCAGTTTTCAAATAGCCTGCTTTTTCACTAGCACACTGGAGATGTTGGATAATCCCTTGCAGTCTTGCATCTAATTGTTGACTTAGCTGGCAGAAATAATTGGTGGTCACATTTTATAGGCAATACAGCCCAGACATGACTTTAATGTCAAGTATTTTAAAAAATGGATGGAAACAATAAATATTGGAAGAGCAGCCCATGTGTATGCAGACAAGCCATGGTGAATACTAAAAAAGGAGGCATAAACCCCTAGAAGGCACCCGAGTATGGAGTCCTCTGCCCTTTCTTCTGCACCCAAAGATTTGCCCAGAACTCAGCAAGTTGTGAGCTGCTGTCACTCCACAATTATTAAAAGACAGCCTGGTGCTAACGTCTCATCTGGCCAGCACATGGAAAAGCGCAGTGTATCCCCAGCACCCTGGGACCGCCTTCCCTGTACGTATGTTTCCCCCCTTTATCTTACAAGCCTGGAGCTCCAGACTCAGCCTCCCAAACTCTTCCTTCGTAAATCCCCAACGATAGTGGAGGGGAAGAGAAGTGAAGCCAGTTCGTCCCAGAATCTCTTTGTCTTGCTCCAAATCCCCTGGGAAGAGATTCCCTTGCCTGTGCTGCTTAATGTTTTTATCCCTCTCTCTTACTAGCTCTATGACTGGGTGCTTCCTTTAGCATGTGATCACTTTGCACCCCCGACTCCAGTCCTTTTCACTATGATCCTGCCTTATCTATCCCTGCAAAGTAGCTGAGCCGACATTTTGTTGATCTTGGTCCATATTCTCGTGAACAGGGTCCTCGTTACCACCAGGGCTGGCATTAACTGGCCCCTTTGGTAGCAGGCTCAGCAGAGTGCCTGAGGGCTGAATGGACCATGGAGCCTGGCCTTGTGACCAGAGCACTAGACTGGGGTGCTGGGGTCAATTCTTGGCTCTGCTCCGGACGTTGGGCATGTCACATGCCAGTGCAGTGCCTCAGTTTCTCCATCGGTGAAAGGGGGAACTGATCCTGATCTTTGTAAATTGCTTTGAGAGCGACAGGGGGAGGCATTATGTAAGAATGAGATGGCGCTCTTCTTTCGGAAGCGAGAACAGCTTTGCATCAGAAGGCGGAAGTGCATTGCAACGGCCCCGTAGTGAGGCGTGTCCTGCCCCTGCCCTGTACTACCCCAGTGCCCCGGTGAAGTCTGAGGGCTGTCAGTCCAGCACGTTTTGCCTCACTCCACTCAGACTGAATGTCATTGCTTTGTTGTATTCACCACTGCCTCATTAGAGGGTTTGATATTCTGAAACCCTGGATTGTTAAGCACGCTCATAACTGGAGCTTATCCACGCTTGTCTGCATTCAGTGCAAGGCTAAGTAAATAACGCAGGGCTCAGTGCAGTAGAAGCCATGCTGTGGGGATATTAAGCTGTAGACTAGCCGTGAGTTTCCTTGGAGAGCCTACTTCCAATGCATTGATTCTTCCCCCCTTCTTCCAGCCACAGTTCTCTGATTCCCAGTTCCAGCCCTGACCTCCCTCACCATCTCTGCTCCAGCATTCAAGTGCTTGCAGTTTCTGCTCTGTACTCTCTGTGGGAGAATCCCTGGACCCACAGGAGTTATGCTGCAAGCAGAATACCATTTAAAAACAGGGGTTACGCTTCTCTCTCACGCATACATGCACATTCTTACCTGTAAGGTTCAGGCTACTGGCCGCAGAGAACATTTTTCACAATTTTACTGTGAAACTGAGAGAAGGCCAGCTGGGTAAAGGCTGAAAGCAAGATAGCCCACAGGGAAAAAAAGTTAGGCAGAGGCGCAGAGGATGTAGTAAGACCAACCGCCATGAAAATCAGCTTGGGCCACAAAGCTCTTTTCAAGAGGTGACTTAAGGAAATTGCTTCATGTATAGCTGTGCTCAGAGAAAGCCGAGAATTAATTGGAGATGGCCTTCTCCTCTCCAGTGCCCAGGGTCCCAAGTCCAGGAGTGGAGCAACATTTCAGGGTTGCATAACGGAAGCTGCAGCCTCTACCACAAAGTGCTTAGGCGTTAGCGACAGACAATGTGTGCAGCGAAAGGAGGATACAACACCAAGGTAGAGTAAGGAAGATGATCAGTGCACAGCAGGTTAATTCCATATTTCGTTAACGCTGTTGGCAGCTGATGTGATTTCTTTTTTATTATCATGGATCTTGTGACATTTGGGGTATTTTTAATTAAGGCCCCAGGACCCAAAATTAGGTAGTTACTGGAGATTATTGGCCTTCATTTTTAAAAAAAAGGCTCACTCATTGTTTGGGAGAAAAGGTTGAAAACAGGACCACCTAGTGGTCTAAAAACAAAGAGGGTAAATAACGAGAATCTCAGATGTGTTATTTAAGAAACAAACAGAACAACCCTTGTGATTTTTAAGCCAGTCTCCTGATTGTGGGGGCCACGTCCTGTGATTTCAGAAAACTCACAGCGAGAGGGGAGGTGGGAAAGGGAAGTGGAGGCATCATGGCAGAGTTAGTGTGCGTGTCGATAACGTGAGTTCAGTCCGCTCAGGTTAGCCGGGCTCACGGGAGAGGCGCAGGGTGACTGGGTGCGTACACAGTAGTCAGAGTAGCAGCTGGCTCAGGCTGTAGCTGTGCTCCTGGCAGGCCAGACAACCAGGCTGAGGGAGTTAAAAGCGCCACACTTGAGGGAAGGGAGTTAGTGGGCAGCGCTCGATTTGGGAACAACGCAGGCGTGTAGATGAGCCTGGAAGGGGGAAGGCTATGAAGGTGGGGGTGTGTGGCTCTTGCTGTGTGTTTGTGCAATGGGGCTTTGGTCTGTAGGCCCTGTGGCCATACAAAGGAAGAGGAGGAGAAGGAGAGGGGTGCACGATGGGCTGAGAAGCCTGTTAGGTGTGGGGAAGAATACAGGTTGTTTAGGCATTATCCCACTCAGTGGCTGTGTCTAAACTACATGGCTCCATCGACGGAGCCATGTAGATGAGGGTTGTAGGCAAAGGGAAATGAAGCGGCGATTTAAATAATCGCCGCTTCATTTACCTTTGCCCAATAAACAAATCTACATGGCTCCGTCGACGGAGCCATGTAGATGAGGGTTGTAGGCAAAGGGAAATGAAGCGGCGATTTAAATAATCGCCGCTTCATTTACCTTTGCCCAATAAACAAATCTACATGGCTCCGTCGACGGAGCCATGTAGATGAGGGTTGTAGGCAAAGGGAAATGAAGCGGCGATTTAAATAATCGCCGCTTCATTTACCTTTGCCCAATAAACAAATCTACATGGCTCCGTCGACGGAGCCATGTAGATGAGGGTTGTAGGCAAAGGGAAATGAAGCGGCGATTTAAATAATCGCCGCTTCATTTACCTTTGCCCAATAAACAAACGTGTAGACGTACCCAGTGACGCATGGCTGCCGAAGCCTGCTAAGCTCTAACACAGGCCCCTGGTTTTAGTAGCCAACCGCAGAGTCCGTCTTATGAGCGGTTGGGTGAAAGGAAGCCCTAAGGCTGACATTGTCCAGGGTCATAAAGCTGTGTGGAGTGTGCACCTGGTGTTCCGTGCTGCACACAGAGCCCTGGAGACGCAGCCTGGGGATTATGCTGTGAGGGCCAGGCCTTGTCCCTGATCTCTGTCCATCCCTGGGTATGGGGTGGGGGTTCTGGGCCAGTCTCATGCCTCCAGTTCTTGGCACGCAGGCAGTAGCTCGTTCCTCCTGCGTGTGATGTACGGAGGGAGAGAAACTGCAAACTCCAGCATTGTGTCTGCAGAGCCAGTAGCTCCCGTCTGCTGGTCCTAGCCTCATTCACCGGCACAAGCTGCTTGGGAGGGAACAAGGGACTGCTGGGACAGTTATCAGAATGGGGAGACGGGAGGCAAATGACCAGTCACGAGCGTGATTTGGGGTTGTGTTTAAACACCACAACGGAGCAGGATCGCTGAGGTTCTCGGTGGGGTCAGGGCGGGGCCTGCAGGCATACCGGTTACGCTTACATCCCTAATGTGGATACCAGTCATGGGGCCAGATTTCCACAGCTACCTGCTGGGGGTTACAAAACCATCTACGCAGGTTGGGTGCTTAACTCTTATTGAGTTGAAGGAGAGTTAAGTGCCTGATCTGCTTTAGGTGGTTTTATAGACACCTACGTGCATCTGTAGGCACCTAAACATCTTTGCAGACCTGGCCCCCAGTCATATCTGTGGAACTGCTGATTCCTTTTCTTCTGGGGTGATTGCTTTTGGAAGAATATTCTCTGAACAAGAACCTAGCAAGTTCTCATCTGATTGCACATTAGGAGGAGGTTTGTGTCGCCATCTTGAAATCTCGTTGAGTTCCTGTTTATCAGAGCTGGCCCTCTGATCAGGGTGAAAACGCCTGGAGAGCAGGGTGACTGGGGGGGTCTGTGCTGAGACAGGGACCAGGGGATTTCAACAGAATCTTGAGGAGCGAGACCCGTTTCCACTGAATTTCCTTAAAGCCCCTTTGAAAAGCCCTGCCTGAGTGCCTAAGTAATCCTTGTCTAATCACGGCTCCTCTAATGACTCTGTGGCGCTGGGGTGGGGGTAGGGCAGCATCTACAGCATAATAAAATATCGACTCTTGGGAAATGTTCTTGGTCAGTGGGATACCAAAAAGAGAAGCATTTTTACGGCTGAACATTGGTGGCCTCAGGACGTGATTCTCTCCTGATGGTGGAGTTCCAAGACCTGTGAGAGGAGACTGAGACCCAGGGAGGTCTCCTGTTAGGTGGAGAAGCGGGTATGAATATTAAGTGATTTCCACTGCCGCAGGCTGCAAGGTGAAAAGGATAAAGGTAGTATGGAGAAGAAGAGAAGTTCATTTCAGCCCAACAAGGAGATAGCTTTGATGTCCCAGGACCTGCTGCTCTCTACTGGTTCTGGTCCTGTGTCCTTGCCAGAGTACTCTGCTGTAATCCCAAGAATGGTCTTATCGGGTCTCTCTCATTTCACCTAGCCTTGGAAACATCCTCTTGACATAGCGCTTGAAGAGCTTTGCTCCCTTCTCCGCTCCTGCATGCCTCTTAGTGCTTGTCTCCGGTCCTGTCGCTGCTTTCACAGAGAGAAAGAGCAAAGGAGAACAGATCTTTTTTAACATACATTGAGGGAAATTTTTCACCCTCAAAGAAATTCAGTCTTAGGGCTGAAGCCGGCAGAGCTGTATGGGAAGGAAATCAATGTGTTTTGTACATTTACTCCTTGGTCACAGCACTTGCCAGAGCAGAACAAACGCAGTGTCCTGTCTCAGACAGCGGCAGAGCCAGCGCCTGCAGAGAAGGTGTACAAATTCCAGTGTTAGAGATTGCTTCTAGCTCAGAAGCACAAGGTGAATGTCCCACCCAGAATTTTTGTTGCCATTAATTCTGATGACTCTGAATATTCTTCCAATCCATACAAATATCCCTTTTAAAGCCCTGCTATGTTCTCTGCAGCTGTAGATGTGTTCATGTATTTATAACTACACAGCTGCCAGATTCAAGGGTCCCTAGTTGTATTAGCTGCTGCCCTCCTGTCCCTGATCACAAAGCAAAATCCACATTGCAAACTAGATATTTTCAGAAGAGTGTAAAATAATCCAGATTTTTTTTCTTCTCCGAGGTTGACCTTATTTTACGTGTTTGGGGGCTACAGGTTGGTTCCCTAAACCTCATAGACTCATAGACTTTAAGGTCAGAAGGGACCACCATGATCATCTAGTCTGACCCCCTGCACAGTGCAGGCCCCACAGAATCTCACCCACCCCTCCCAAAATAATCCTCTCACCTATATCTCAGATATTGGAGCCTTCAAATACTTTGAAGACCCCAAGATGCAGAGAATCCTCTAGCTGTGATCTGTGCCCCATGCTACAGAGGAAGGCGATAAACAAGGATTCAGAAATCACAAGTGATTTAAATAATGTGATTGCAGAAAACGGGAGTTTATTTTTCTTCACTTCCATTTTCTGAGCCTTTAGGGTTCATCTTTTCAAGTTCTTCGCAGCAGCCAGGCGGGCTGGAAACATTCTTTTTTCTTGTGTTGATGAAGAACACAAGAAAGGTCACAGAATTCCCTGACTTGAGCAGCTGTGATCTTACAGAAAACACTAGGTATAACACTAGGAGCATATGATGAAATCGTGAGAGTTGGCAATGCTGTCATGCACATGCCTGTATTCTGCATGTCTGCCTTCCTTGCTCTTTATGCTAGTTCTGGAGAATGCTGCCAAAAGGCATTAGACGTGTTGCTCTTCAAACTGCATGGGAGGCTGGACACTGGTTCCAGTGGGTGCACATAAGCACCACACAAGTCCTACAAGATCTGCCCACCTTTGGA